CAGCTGCTGTTGGCATGAATTCTACACCCTGCCTCACTCCCCCAGCCACCAAAGTCTTTGCCGAATTAAAAACAGAGCCATTGATGAATAATGTAGACACATTGAAAAAAAGAGCATATTCATTCCTTATTAATGCTAGGACACAGTAATATCGTGTTCTTTCTATTTAATTCCATTAATGTGACATGTTATAAAAATGGAGAAAAAAGAAAATGTGAATGAGATATAGTATCTTTTAATCTTAGAAACTGGTGGCATATTAAAATTAACCTAGTTGGCCCAACCCCATTGGCCAATGTGGAGATCCCCCCGAGACACTGAATTGTGGGTTTCATCACTTATGCTGAAAAACTCCATTGATGAAATTGTTGTATCAGTTTTGTTACAGCTCTAATTGTTTGAAAACTTTTTTTTCCCTATTTCTTTTCCTTGTCTGTCGTGCTGGCCAGGACTTAAAGCACGAGTTTAAATAAAAGGAGTGATAGCAGACATTCTCATCGTGTGTTTGAAAATATTGTGAGAAGAAAAATCGTCTGTTTACCATGTGGGTGTGTTGTTAATCCTGCTATGGAAATGCTGTGATGATTGTGCTGCTTTAAGGTGCAGTTGAACATTGAACCATATTGTGAATTGGGCCAGGGAGTAGGAAGAGAGATTCTAGCTGAGGAGGAGAAAGAATTTAGTTTCTCTTGATTTGGACAGCCAAGGGGAATGGTACATTACATATGGGAAGGCCAGGATTGAGGACTTGTGAGGGGTCAAAAAGAGGTACCTATGAAATTGTATTTGTCCTTTGTGGCTAAAATGTAGCTAATATTTGAGAGCATGTGAGATGAGAAGGGGCTGGGAGCTCTGAGTACAGGTCAGCTATGTGAGCCCTGAACCTTGGGCTTCTTATTTATATAGTTCTTACACTGCCTGGGGTCATTCTTCCTTGCAGTTATTTAGTATTTAATAAAATGTTATTGAAAGGTTTTTTTTTTTTTTTTTTTTTTTTTACAGCACCTATTATTTATTTCTCCTTGTATATGGAGGACTATTTCCTAGTGAGAGCGGCAGGAGGATCATGGTACAAATATGTGTTGACATGTTTTCCTCCTCTTATCCTCAGGTTCCACTTGTTCTCATTTGTGGGATCATATCGGGGAAATGGATCATGGTCATTATCATTAAAATCATAGCTAGCCTCTGGATCATAGTTGGCATAAATGTCCGTGTGATTCCACTCCAAGCCAGCATCCAGTACAGTGATAACAACTCCTTTGCCCGTAATGCCTTTTTGCCAAACAGGTATCACATGAAGGTCCAGCTTGGGCAGGGCTGCTGTCATCCTGGTATCTTGCAAGTACCATTGCTGATTCCACATGGGATCATTGAAGAGATTTACTGCTGAGTCTCTTAGAGCTGAACGTTTATTTCTTTCTTTTTCATACTGTTGTTCAGCCCATATCACACGATCATCATCAGATAATCTCTTAGTGATATGAAGGGCACTCCTTCGAGACCTTCTGGGATGGTTTTTATGTTTGAATAAGTAGTGATTTTCAAGTGAACCAATCATTTCTCCCCGCAGCGTCCCAGGCTACTCCGCGGCCTCCCAACCTCCTGGTCGTGAATCCCAGCGGCTGGCACTCTTCCAATGCCCTGGGCGTGCCCTTAAAGGCTGCCAGGGCGGACAGCCCCAAGCCTGCTTAGCCCCTTGCCTCAGGACTTGGATCTGATGCTGCCATATTGAAAAGAAGGCAACAGCCGGCTCCCGATGCAGCTATTGAAAGTTTTAATTTGTCTAAATTATACAGGATACTAAGAACAAAATATTTTGTCCAATATTATACATTAAAGTGAGACGTGTTAAAATGGTAAGAGAAAACCCAACATTCGCGTAGCAGAGGCGGCTGGCAACTGATAGTAAAGAACTTTGAGGGTAAGGTGAAACTTAGGAAGATAGAGGTAGTCCTGTTAGTTGTCTCACTGTCTGCAAGACAAAATCTTAGAAATCTGAGTTTTATTAAAGTATGTATATTTTCTTAAAGTGTTCTTCACAACTTTCCCATGAGTTTTGTTCTTTAACTCAAATTGACACTTTAGGAAATACTGTGACTAAAACCAGTAACAAATACACATGATGAGAATCTTAAAATATGTGATTCCAATTTAAGTAGTCCTCTTAAGTATTTTCTTTCAAAATACCAATTGTCCCTCAGTAATCCTCCTGCTTTGTGGTTCCTACGTGCTTTATCATGATTGCTCATTTCTAGAACTTCATTTGCTATGTGACAGGCTGAATTTCTCAGCGCACTCAAGCAAAGCAATGGGGCACTGCAAACGACAGTCGGATGGCCCGCTGCTTTCCTTGTTCTGTACTCTTGATTTCAGTTAGTGAAGGCCAAGGTTATATTTTGATTTATTTTCCCAGTTGGAATCTAGAGAATTTCCTAAAGAATATTGTGATTGTCTTATTTTTTGAACAACGGAAAAGAAAACAAAGGTCATGTTGGATATATTTTGATTTAAATGCATGGCTGTGAGTGAACAAATTAGAGATAAATTTGTCTGTACTGGGTATCCTGATCTAGCCACTGAAATGCTTTGATTCCTATTTTTAGGTAACTAATCTTCCCGGGCAGGTTTTGGGAGTAATGACCCAATAAAGTATGAGCTGTGGGTAAAGAGGACCCAGGGAAAAGACTCCATCTCTGACGGAGATGGTCAAGGGGATGAGTGAGGGAGCAAGGAAGAATGAGGATAGGAATGGGGGTTGGGCAGCAGAGGCCAATGAAGTTACTCCTATTTTCTTCCTGGTCTGAGGTACATAATAGAGATATCTCTTCCTTTTCAAAATATTGGCTGTTTGCTGTGTTTAATTTTATTTGCCCATGTGAGTGTAGTAGAATTAGGCTAAGTGGCTAATTCCCCTTTATCCTCAATTCCTCCGAATAACTCAGTGTGATCACCTAGAACGATTTTAGCTATGTTGAACTAACAGATAATGAAAATTAATAGGGCTTTTTTCCCCCATGGGAAATGCTAACAAGGTGGCTTCTTCTTCCTGTATTTTTCAAACATTCCTTTTAAAAGTATAGTTCTTTATATTTAATCAAAGTATATTTGTGCATGTATATTTAGTCTTATCGTGTAACAACTTATCAAAATCTTTTATAATCCAAATTCATTTATTTAAATATTTCCTTCTACAGATTCATCACATCTATGGATGTGATATGCCTGTCACCTATGTATTCATTATCCTGATCACTAATAAGATGGTCAGACAAGAGATTACAACTCCATGGCAAATCACTGCAGAGAGAAAGATGAATCAAGGGTTACATGACATATTAATCAATACGATATGGACCATTTACCTAGCTATTAACCTGTATTTCTAGCCCATTATTCACCCATCTATACAGTCCATCTTGCCCACAGTGATAATAAGATATTTTTTCAAAAGCTATGTGAAATCACAAAAACCTTTACTTATCACAAAATTTCAGAATTAGAAAGAAGCTTAAAAACCATGTACCACAGCCTTTTCACTTGGAAAAAATATTGACCTACTAACTGCTTACCTTATCATGAAAGCTGAAATGCCTTACGCTGCAAATATGGTGGCTCAAGAACTCTATATTACCTTCCAAGGGGTCAAAATTTCCTTAAAACACTATTCTTGGAATAGTGTTCAGAACAGTACATTCTAGTTTTACTAACACATCTCTACATCCTATTGGAAAAGTGCATAGGTATTTGTCCATGTGCAGATTTTTCTCACCTCTCCTAATTGCTATGATTTTCAGATATCATGTTTGAAATGCCATGATTATCTGTAAATTCCTTCCAGACACTGGCATATAAATCCCTTGGGCTTAGCAACATAAAGTCATTTAATCTAATTTTGTGCTCCTTTATGATACTCTTAAACACCCTGGAATCACCCTCAGCCATGGATTCTACTTCCAATGTGATGATTTGCTTTGACAGAAAAAGAGAGGCAGTGTTAACATGACTTTTTCTACTTGGACGAATGGGGTTTAGCCCATTCCTTTCTTCTTGTGTTAAACATAACTTTAAAAATTATTTTCATCTTTCTTAGCATTACTCATAATCCCGAGTTCTTACTTCTGCAGTTCTGACAGTCATGGTTGTGTGCTCCTTTGTCTGTCTTTTGTGGGTGACTTCTAATTTTTTTTCTGTTTATAAAAGATATATTTTCTAAAGAAAATTTGAAAGCCGGAGATCAGAGTGTAAAAATAAAAATTCCATCGCTTAGAAATAACTATTCATAGTCAAATATACTTCATATTTGTGCAGGTATATTTTTAAAGTTAGAACCATATTCATATTTCTATCCTGAAGTTTTACTTTGTAAGATATATTCCCATGACATACAATATTTTTATACAATAAAATTTTTATTATTTCAAAATATTTTATTATATTTCAATTTATTTACTAATTTCCTTTTTGGGAAATTTAGGTTCTTCTAATTTTTTTGCTGTTACAAGTAAAATTGTGTTGAATAGTCCTGTGCTTCAAATCTCCTTATCAGATGTTCCTCTAACCAGCTCCAATAATTTATTTAATTATTCTTTCTCTTATAATCATTAGCCATATTTTAGTCTTAGTTTCTCATTGTTTGTGGGCCATGTTCATTCCATCTAAAAAACAGTCTGCTTCCTATGTTTTGAACTTTTAGAAATCTTTGCTAGTTTATATTTATCTGGCTAGTGAGCATATTTACCTTTTCCCAAGCCAACTCTCAGTTTCTTAAGTTCTTCCTTCTTAGCCAGACTGAAAATTGAAAATAATGAAGTTTTAGAATTCGTAAAGATCTTAATTTTCTTTTATGATAAATGATACTTTTCTGTGGGCTTCTAAAAGAACAAATTAATAGCACAGTGATATGTCTTGTACAGGTTTGGTGATAAAATACGCTTGACTTCAGCAGAAGGTCAGCAGGTCAAAGAGAAATCTGGAAGTAGAAAACATTGTTTGGTGAGATGATGGGAACAGGGTCTCCAGAAGATGATGGTAAGGAGAGTAGTGTGGTTCTGATTAGCTTATTAGACTTAGGCAGGGCATCAACAGGCAACAGGAAATCTAGAGTTCTGGAATTACGTCTCCTAAGAGACATTTTTAAAAAGGTGTCAAGGTGCCAATTGGATTAGTGCTTAAGCTAGGAATCTTGTTCTAATTAGGGCCTTTAGTGATAAATGGAAATTAAGTGGAAGTCAAGTCAAATAAATGAGAAAATGCAGAATGGACTGGTGAAGAAAGACTCAGGGAGAATAATGCAGGTAGATGCCTAGGGTTCCAGTTATACCCGTTATACCAACACTGGACTTTGGGCTACTGGTGGGTTTGTATTTAATATACATGATGTGTCTCAATTAAGATTGGCTTAAAAATTATATGAGGCTTAGAATGCAGATTTAAGGTCTTGGTACCTACTGTTATAAAGGACTAACCTGGAGAAAGAGTAAGAATAACCAAAATCAAAGCATGACTGTATTAAATCCTCTAATTTGGCCAAAAGAAGTTTCTATAATAGTAGATGAAAAGATGGTAAAGTAATACTATTACTTTACCCTACCTCTGTTTAACGGTCTGTTGGAAAAGCTTTATTCACATACTTCATCTACATATATGGTCTACATTATTGCTCAACTTCCTACAGTAGTTCTGCTTCTTTTCCTTTATGCTTACCCTCCCAAATTTTGCTACTCTTCCACCAAATAAATTGGCTGTAGTTATGTCTATGATTTTTAGTGATTATTTGCATCTTCTTAAAAGAGAACCAAATATCAGGCCCAGTTTAATTTTTTAACAAAAATTTTACATATTTTAGTCACTGATTATACCATTAAAATTAGAATATATTTATGAGATTATATCTGTCTTAAAACACAATTTATTATGTCTGTTAGATTTATTCTGTCTGTTGAATATTAATTTGAGAATGTATTTTTCACAGTCCCCCTATCCTGCTGCTTTTGTACCAAATACTTGGTATTTCCCTTTGTTATTTATTTATTTTTTGTTAGTATATGTATTGGTTTTCAGGGTATTCAGTCTTACATTTTTATTGAGATATTTTTGTCTTCTTCCGATTTTAATCCAAAATCTTCTTGATCAGATCAGCAACTCTTCTAACAGATATTTTTCTCTAGGTTCTTGTGAGATGTACTTCATCCTTTGCCAGAAGCTACATCAAATACATTGGTAATCTTTATAGAATTTATTGGCTTGGAATTATATAAACATATTGATGAAATGCATGCAGCTTCTGCTAAGAGCTTTAGCTTAAGGAAAAAAAAAGCCTAAGCCTTAAGAGTATTTTTGTTTTTGTTTTTTCCCTTAATGGGACAATACGCTGATGAGTACAATCATTTCCTTCTTTTGATATTTATTTCCTTATTTATTGTTCTTCCTTAGGTTTCTTACCACCTATCTCTCACGTCTTTCCCATTGCTGAAAGAATTAACAGAATAAAGATAGTTTTTAAATTATTGAGAACTTAAATCTCATTTTAAAAAGTCTACACTGTGAATTATTTTTGGTATTTTTATTTCTTGAACATATTTCAGAGAAAAAAATTCTGAGACATTTGAATCTATGGAAAATTTTAAAATACAAGCAATGCTTCTTTTAGCAAGAATAATTTTGGTTTCTTCATTTTTACTTTGGATTTAAGACTTTGCCTAGAAAATGGAGAAGGCAAACTTGACTAGAGATCAATCACATGAGGATACTACTTGAAGTATAATTCTTTAGGATAATGGTTTCAGAGCATTGATTTCAGTAGTTCACCTTCATTCCTAACCCTATTGGCAAGCTCACCAAGAACAGGTTAAGCCCAGATCTGGCTATAGAACTGGGAGCTTTATTCTCTGTGTTAGTGTTACTTTTTAAAGACAACTGGTAGGTTATTAGATCTGTCTGTATTTGGATTTTGTTTGCTGGTTCTCAGGCTAGGATTACTTGAGTTTTAATTTCTGGCTGTCTTGAAGCTTCCAACTAAAAGAGACACAGAATACTTTGGAAGCAGGGATGTGATGTTTTCCTTAAAGACTTACAGCTAAGCATAGCTTATCACTTCCGACCTCCAATGAAGGATGTCCTGGGTCTATAAATCCTACTTGAAAATGGTGGTATCTTTCCAGAAGGAACTAAAGGGCATTTGGCAACTCTCAGACCACCTTAATTATACTAGTAGTTCTCCAAGAAGCCCTAAGCATAAAATATGTCATCAAAATGTAGACATAAAATTTGATTTGGGGCACTGTTGATTATAGCAACTGGTGTTATACTAATTTACATAAGGATACAGAATGAATGTTTCCCTCAGTGAGCTTATAGCCTATTTCTATAAAGAGAATATGCACAATAGAAAATAGAGAATATACACAGTAGAAAAGTTATTGTAAATATATATTAGGAAGCAAGGAAAAGATGAGTCCTTGGCTCAGGGGTAGGAGTCATATTTCTGAGAAATCTTGTTAAGCAAAGGTGATGAATGCATTGGGATTTAATAGATGAATATAATTTAGCCACTCAGACAGCAAGAAATTCTATGCAGAAAGTGTAGGTCTGAGAAAAATCTTGGGGTCAAGAAACAGTAATATATAGTGAATAATAAGCAGTTTAGCATTTTAGAAAATCATGTATGAATAAGGAGTGATGAGGACTTAAAGTTGTGAACATACCTAGGGATCAGATTACTGAATCTTGTAAGCTATGTAAAGAAACTTTGACTATAGCTGTGGATGATGCGAGACATCTTTTAGGTGTTCATTAAGTGAGATGACATTCATAGATTTGTAGCTTTAATATATTTTTCAGAAAGTTGTAAAGGATAGTAGTGCCTGTGGTGATTTTAATCTATTTGCAAGTTCTTTGATACTCCTTCTCTTAGAAGGTAGAGCCTAATTGCCCTCCCCTTGAATGTGGGCTAAACCTAATGACTCACTTTTAACAAAGAGAATAAAATGAAGTGATGGTGCATAGCTTCAGAAACTAGATCACAGAAGTCATGTGGCTTCCTCTTTCTTCTTTTTCTTGGCTTGCTGGCTCTGGGAGAGACAGTTGCTATGTAAGGACCCTCAGAAAGACTTGTAGAGAGGCCCATGTGGACGGAATGGAGGCCATCTACCAACAACCACATGAGGTAAACTTCAACCACATGAGGGTGGATCTTTTGGTCCTAGTAAAGCCTCCAAATGACATCAGAGCAAGCCAACAGCTGGGCTGCAATTTCTGGAGAGAACTGAGCCAGTATCACCCAGCTAAGCTATGCCTGGATTCCTGACCATTAGAAACTATGAGAAAGAATAATAAATGCTTGTTTTAAATGGCTACATTTTGGTGCAATGTGTTAGACAACAGTAGGTAATCAACATACTGGTTTTAGATGGGAACAGGACTTTAGTGCAGGCAGGTAAGTTAGGAGCTTGCTATAGTTGACTAGGTTAGAAGTAGTGAAGGTCTAGTTTAGGGCAGGTATATGTGGGCAGAAGGCAAAAGATATAAAAATAGTAGGAGTCAGAAATTTTTTGGACTTGGAGAATGATTAAATATGGAAATAGAGGAAGGAGTCAGTATTAATTCCCATGTTTCTTGTTTGGGCAACCAGGGGTGAGGGTGGTGCTGACACACTGAAGAGGAGCATATTTGGAGACAGAATGGATTCAGTTTGGGACATCCAGTTTGAATTGTCTGAGATGTCCAGATGAAGAAGCAACTTGGCAGCAGATGGCATAAACAGGACATTCCAGGAAGATATAAAGGAAACCAGAGAGGTAGTGAGAGAAACTTGAAAATGTAGATAGAAGGCTTGGTTTTGGTCATGAGATAGAAAACTGCATTCTCTGATACTGGTGGGAAGAAAAGAATGGGTGTTACCGAGGGGAGGAAAGAATGGGCGTTGTAGTGAGTTTTGAAGTGGACAGATGTTTGGATAATTGAGAGGAATCATTCTTGATAGTTCTGGTTTTCCAGTTGAAGTAATAGGAGGAAACATCGCTTGCTACGCTTACTTCCCCCACAAATAAGGATGATGCCAGTTGAGTAGAGAGGAAAGGCTTTGGCTGTAAGGGGAGAATGAGGAACAAAGTAAGAGAGGACAATAAGGAAATGGATGGATTGTGCTGAGTGCTCAGTCATGCCTTTGATGTAAGTGATACCAGTATGAAAATATGATACATACACTTGGGGAATCTTTCTGTTTCGGATTGCCAGGAGCCCTAAACCTGGTGATAATCCCATAGATAACAGCTTATCTATGCAAGACGTACTGAAAGACTGTGAGATTTGTTTTGCAACCATTAGTTCATCACCTTTTTTGGGTATAGAGAAGGGTCAATATTGATCTAAAAGACACTGAATAAGAGCTAGTCTGTTGGAGAGCATTGTTTTTCTATGTGTTCACCACTCTCTGCACAACCATAGAGAGGAGAGGGGATGCTTTTGTGCATTTTTATCTAACTCAGAGAAAAGCATTTGTGAAAACTATCTGGAAAACTTGACATGAGTCTTCTAAAGCTTAGGGGACATGGTTAAAAGTTAAGGGTCTGGCTGGAGCTGGCAGAACAATAAGGCAATAGAATGTTTTGGGAGCTAGTTGCATCTATCACTGGGAGGTAGAGGTGTGTTTCCCACACACTGGATTTGTTTCCCCACAGGGGAGCCAGCCATGGTCTTCTGGGAAAAAAAAAACACCGCCCCAGGAAATCACTTGAGATGAAATGGCATCTGGAGGAAAGGCACTGCTATATCTAGAAAGCTATACATGTCCTTATTGCAAAGAGAGGGAAAGCTAGGCAAGCAGACAATATAAACATGCCCCATAGGTCACCTTTGGATATATATTATGTATAGAAGGAAGTGATGGAAGGTCACAACTGTGCCTGTCAAGATAGACTTTTATTGCCCATTTATCTTTTTTCTCAGTATTCCCGACCTTACCCCAACTGTGGAGGGGCCAAGGCAGCATCTATGGAATGGGGGAGAAGGCAAAGTAGGAAAAGAAAAAA